CACACACACACACACACACCATATGGCAACATGTCAGCTCAGATCAGATGATTTTACGTAAGGGGAACGTCACGCTTCCTCTGGTTGTAGGTGTGAAGATGTGACTGCTCGGCTCCTTAAGAAAACAAAAGTCTGACTCATCTGCTGCACTATGTTTTCTTCATGCTGCTGCAAACTGAAGAACCAAAGCTTGGGGTGGAAGCTCAGGTTCATCACACCGGATTACAAATAAGATCACGAAGACTTCAAGATTTCACTCTTTCTCTGACTGCACCTTTTCATCCATTCATTCCTGCTCAGTCTCAGGAAACGGACTTTGCCTGGTTTTCATGGGGATCTTGACATGTCGAGCTCAATAGCTGAGTAGTTCCCTCTCCTGTGACAAATGAACACGAGAAGTCAACTGCGTCCAGTCCCGTTGCAAATAAAACAGTGTAATGTAGAACACAATCAAATCTGATGAGAGAAAACAATGTTAAAACACTGATTTATTTGAATAATCATAATAAGTACCTGACCCATTGAAATAAAACAGTAATTGAAGGTACTTAACTGCGTCTGGCAGTATTTCATGATTCCCTCCCATGTGCCTTTGTTGGTTCTTTTCTCCCAGGGGTTGTTGCAGCAACAATAAGTAAATGGCGACATTACGGGCACAACGCTCTGAGGCAGCTGAGGAGAAAAGGATTGTTTATCTGCCTGTGAGCACGCTGGAAGAAAAAGGGTTCCTGTTTTCTTAATGTGACAGTTTAACTGTCACTGAAAAAGCCTTGTACATGGAGGAGACACATGCAACTGAATCATTGCGTTTTCAGTTGAGTTCTGGAAACAGCTTGACAGTGTCAAATGCTCACACTGCTGAATGTAGGGAAGACAAAAACAAACAAACACTGCTTAACATCTACATTTGAGCGATAGAATATATTTAAAATATGCACGAGAGCTGCATCTAGTAAACGACGAACCCTTCTCCTGCTGTGGGGAGTTGACGTGAGCCAAAAGTGCACTAAGGTCAAACAGCAATCGGGACGTGGAGGCTTTTAAAGTGGTTCTCGGTGAATTGACTCCCCCTGATTTAGTCTTATTCCTAAACGAAGCCGGGCTGATTCAGTCTCTCAGTGGAAGACTGAGACGTATTGATTGTTGTTTCAAGGTTTTACAGGAGACGTGAGAGTTATGGCGTCTTGGAGGGCCGCGTCGGCTCGCTGCCAGAAAGAAGGATCCGAGGCGTCGTCAGCAATCTACGGTGCCGCTCTATAAACAAAGTGAGCCAGGTGGCATTTCAGCAGGCAAATACACTCTCTCTCTCCACATTCACACAAACACATGGGACGGAGGAGTCGCATTTATACCATAAATGTGGTTTTATTAATAATAACAGTATCTCTTTTAATGAACATTGCGATACATATTAGAAAATAAATCAGAAACAAGAGAGACTCAAGAGTCGTGAAAGTGCCTGGAATAATTCTGTGCTATATATTCTCGTTGTTATTCGTCATCGTTTTCATCGTCTTCACCACCAAAATCCACGTTGCCAGAAATGTTCAATTTCCTCATGAAACAAAAATGTGTATCAACCCCCCGCCACCCCCACTAGAAAATGCCTTGTATTCACGCAGCCTCTCAAAGCAGAAGGAGCAAACGTCATAGATTCTCCACCTCAAGTCAGGGTTAGTATTTTTGCTTTGGGAGGCTTTCATGAATACGGCTCGATTGTCTTCATCTCCATCCCGTTATTGTTTTGATTATATTTACACAACGCCATATTTAAAAAGCACGACACACTCTTCAACGCAATCCTCCTCATTGTACTCTTCTCATGGGGGGGGGGTTTGATTGAGGTGCGTACAAACAGGCCTGGATAGAATCTACTGGTCGAAAACAAAGAGGAATTAGAGTCCGCTTCCGCAAACCTAGGCCTGTGCTGAAACATTCTGTAAAAGCAAAAAGTGCGGGAAGCTAAAGGGGGGAAAAGAAACCACGATTCTTCTTGACTGTTTACAAGTTCAACCCTTTGCATATTTTATGGCACTGAATGAAACATCCTCGTCCGGTGTTTTAGTTTGACGCTGGTTCCTGGAAAACGAAAACAAACGATATGACACAGCTGCAGGAGACGTAAAGTCCGCCGGCCTTCGCGGCTCCGAGTGGATTCGTGAGAGTGGCTCTTTTTTTTCAGATGATTCAATGAAATCACGCCCTCGGTTCACAGGAACAGTGAGCGAGGGATGGTTCACTGTCACTTTGGTCTAACTTGCATCAACTAGCTTTTTGTTTTTTATAGTTACAAATACTTTTATTTCCATTTTAAAATCGGTCCCGTCGCTCGTAACCATCGATTACATCTCGTTTTTAGAAGGGTGTCATTCTTTTTGAAGAGAATTTGTCAGGATTATTTGTTAAATGTTACATCTATTATTAAATATATTTCCAAACAGATTTGGGAATAAAACTCTTCATTGCTATGTACTCTTTTTTTAATTCCTAAACCCCGTCACTGCAGCATTGCCAAGCCACCAAGGCTGACCGGAGAAAGAACCACAATTAAAAGCCCTATTTTATTTATCTGAGACCTGGTTACTCTACAGACGGATCATTTCCGTCGACAAAGGCGATGGCACGCAAATTACAGAGCTGTCGTATGAGAGGAAATGAATAACAAGAGATAACACTTAAGCCCTGGACAGCCTTGTTTGGAAAGGGGAAACCGGTTACGGTGAATATCTCGGGTGACGCTAGTCGTCATGGCTTACCTCTCCTCCATCTGCACTGACATCATGGACGGGATAGCGGAGCCCCGTCCTTGTTAAATCAACTGGGAATCGCTGCGATGACGGTAAAACAATGAACGTAAAATGCCTGCTGAGCTGCCGAGTGTTGAAATGTCAAAACTCTTCCTTTTTAATGATGAAAACATAAACTTTTTTTCTTCTCTTGCTATATAAGACATTTAGTGAACCATCGATCGATTTCCGTGACCTGTTGTTTTGTGTGTGTGTGTGTGTTTACTCTATTCCATCTTTCTGAATCTTTATAACTTCTCTAAGCAAATATCCCTCTGTTACAAAAATAGACTTCTCTTTTTTTCATAAAGTAATACACATAATTCACTTTCTGTGATATAATCATCTGTTAAGGTAAATAGCAACGTTGGTTTTTTTTGTTTTCAAAGTAAATGTTATCGTGAGAGAAACACAAAGAGGTGAAGCCTAGCACCATTTTATTCATATCCCCCATCTTCTCCCGCCTCCCTGGACTCCGTATTTTGCATATTCTTATTGAGTCCACGTCAGATTTTTAACCCTCACAGCAGCCAGAGGAAACAGGATCGCTCTCATCTCACAGAGGCTGCGAATTGGAATCCTTCCCACCCTCTAGCCCCTCCCCCAATAAACCTAGAAGCTTTTACAAACTACACCAGCCAACAAATTAAGATAAAGGTAACACTGGTTTAACCACCACATCTCACAGGCCATTGCTTCACTTTTGTACAAAACAAAAGAAATCAAAACTGAAAACAAAAAAACATAAAAGAAGAAACAAGTCCCAAACACTGATGCTACAAAGAATTAGAAAAACGTATGTACAGGACCCTGTATTCCTTGACTCTCTGGGTAAATGATCGTAGGTGTTGGCTTGTGTTACGAGTGTTTATACAGGCATAGAAAAAAGTTTTCTTCTTTTTTCTTATTCAGTTTCAATAAAAGCTCTTATTAGACCAAAAGCAAAAAAACATCCGCCACCACCTCCTTTGACAAACTCGTCCAGTGTGTCTGACACCCTGTCCTCCTCCCTCCCCCTGTGATTTCCTGGTGCAAATTCAACAGCAGCGAGTAGCTTAGTGCCATTCAGGTTCATCTGGCCCTGGTGCGTTCAGGGCCCAAGTGCCAGTGGTGACTCCTTCTTGAGTTGGACATCGCACAGATCCGCAGTCTACCCAGCCCGTCTCTGTCACCAGATGACGCTGGATATACTGGTCTCCCTGGGCAGCAGCGGCAGCATAGCGTTGTTGCCGTGGGCCTCCTCCAGACTCTGCTGCCGAGGCGACTTGGACTGCGGCCGCTGTCCGTTGATGAGTGTCATGGGGATGTTGCAGTAGGTGTGCTGGTTGCCTAGCGAGGAGAGCGGTGGGAGCGTGCCTCCGGGCGGCAGGTCGTAGTCGTAGCTACGGTAATAGTGTTTCTGCCTCATCTGAGTGTGGCAAGAGTTGTGGAAGGTCGAGCGCAAGTCCGGGTGTGCCGTCGCCATGGCGGTGGAGGTGGCTGCTGCCATGGAGATGGCCGAGACAGTCTGGAGCTCGCCGAAGGGGCCCTGCTCGCTGACATCCAGCACCTGCTCGTGGGAGATGCTCAGGGGCTCCATGCGCTTGAAGGGCATCTCGTAGAGCAGCTGCTTCCAGAACTTGGAGTTGAGCTTGTTGCTGGACGGCCCGCGCCACTTGATGACCGTCAGCATCTTGATGGTGTGTTTCAGGGCCTCCACCTCCTGGTAGTTCATGATGCCGCGCAGCTCGGCGCACTCGATCAGAATGACCTTGATCTCGCCGGTCACCAACATGTTGCGCAGCCGTGTCTCCAGCTCAAAAATGCTCCAGCCCCTCCGCACGACATAGCTGGGCGTCATGACAATGATGAGGCGCTTGCTCTGGTCCACGCAGCGTGCTACATCCTCGATGTAGGCTGGACACAGACACAGACACAGATCACTTCAAAATCAGCACAAGTGAAAAGCACATGTTGGGTTTGTATGCTGTGTTTCTACTTGTTGATGAAAATATGATGCAAGGCATCACACAGGCTATTTGAAGAACTCTCTTGGCCTCATTGCGACTGTTTCCCAAACTGCTCTCTTTCATCAAACTTTCAAACAACCGAATCCAATTAACTTGAAAAAAGAAAAGTGTGCTTCTTGACTGAAGTTGTTGGAACTAAACATCTGTTGAATCCTAACATCTACAGTAAATCTCATTCACAGACGTGGCTTGAGGACACCATACCAAAAAAGTAAATGCTGCGAAAATAAAATATTACCATAACTTTAATTACATCTACAGCCTCTGCAGCTTTCGATAATGAGATTTAGAATTAGAGACAGAAACAAGGGGACGGGGGATCACTTGCTTTCTTACTATAAAATGACAGTAAACATAAAACAATCAAAGCCAAGCGAGATGCCTGAGTCGCCTTTAATTTCAATCGATCACTTGAGGGTGAAACAAGTATAGTGTGTGTGTGTGTGTGTGTGTGTGTGTGTGTGAGAGCAGATAATGCCTGCGTTTAGCCTTTCTTTGCAGAGACAAATACAGAATGGCCGCAGGTACACGGGATTAACCAAACTTTACTCTCCATTTAAATCAAAGCCTATGACAATCCCCTCACTGTCCTCTCCATATCTCTGAGAATGAACTTCCACTTTCGTGTCACGCTCCGCCCCGAGGCCTCACCACGAGAGGGACCTGATTAGAGTAAACTTGGATCTGAACTTTACGTGACAAGTCAATCTCTTTGCCGTTTGGTAATTGGTCCTCATGCGGTAATTCACCTTGATGCCTCCCTGGGGATGAAACTCCCTGTTCGCTTATAGGGACAAGTTTTTTATTCTATCATGAATAAAACCAACAAGGAATGGATAAATGGTCGCTGTTTAATTAGCTAATGAGTCGTAGTTTCAGTTTATCTTTTGAATTGATTAAACTTAAAGTAAATCTGCCGTCAAGAGCGACTGTCTGGTGTCACTTTATGGCTTTGTAGATTAAATCCCTCCTTTCAGAGACCTATCAGGTTTTACTCTCAGAGACTCGCAAGTGTAACAATTGATTTGCATTCACATTAAAACAAAGTCAATGATAAATTTGGCCAGAAAATCCCAGCTGCTCAATACAATTATGACTTTATTCTCGTACTATTGTGATTTTTTCTTCGGAGACAATGTTATTCTTGAAATCTCGCCTGTTATGGCTTTAAGGCTCCATCGTATGAAGACCAAAAATATATTAATAGAGAAAATGTAATGGAAGTCTGAATTCTAAGAAATATAGACGTGGCAATGAGGTGCATAAAGGTTTAGATTAGATTATCTCGCAGTATTTTGTTGGGACTCTGCATCTTTCCCATAGATATTTGAGGTGAAATGTTCCCTATGCTGAGCAGCTATAGAATGTTGCTTTATGTCCGTCAATGCAGAGACTTTCTTGCAACGATGCTGGAATCTACCAACGAGAAAATCCTGACCTACACCTTCCGCACGGCAGAAATCTGCTTCACTTCAGGGCAGATTAGAGGCTGTGACATTTCAGTGACAACTCCACTGGGCCACAGTGTCGCAGAGGATCCTCGTAAAATTCACATGGTCTCAAATCTTCAAAAAACATGTTACTGTGAAAAATATAAAACAAAAAAAACTATAGCATAACAATTTGCTCTATTGATGACTTGTACATAATTTGTCTAAACATTTTAGATTAGAAAATTCCTCTTGGTAATGAAATGAAAATATTTGTGTAAATGGATCATTTCTGATTTGCGAGGCATTAATGTACAAGTCATTAACTACTACTAATGCCATTTGTACGAACCTACAAACCCCTAGGACTTCCTATAAAGTGTTTTTGAAATTACTTTCTATATTTTTCATTTTGTTGAGAAAGTGTGTGTCAGTGTGTGTCGCCACGAGCGTTCAGAATCTGGGTAGAAAAGTACCTCTAAGTAGTCTTGTGTCATCCTGGAAATGATCATTGGTGAAACCTAAACATAAATATTGAACATTCAAAGAATGATCAGAGGTATAGGCAGAAAAGCATTGAGATTTAAAAACACAGTTTCGTCAATGTGGGGACATGGCTCTGGCATAAACTGTGTTTCTCCACTGGTGATCCACCGGCGATTGTGAAACGGTAATCGAGCTGACCAGTTTATTCCAGCTTAATATGGGACACGCAGCATAAAAACGCCAAGGAGAGGAGCTCTGCCAAGTTGTTGTGTTGCTGTTAGAAACATTATACACATGAGAAGACTATTGTTGTGCTTAACATGTTGGAAATAATCCATCATAAAGTGGAATAACATGTTTCTTATCAGCGGCTCAGGAGGAGGATTGTTGATGCATGATGTTGAAACCCCCAAATGGCCAAACAGTGTTTATCTATAGCTGAGGATTATGTTTTATTATATCTACTGTTGAGATGCTAATACATTCCCAGTGGGAACTAAATGTTTATACATGAACACAATAAGACAGTGAGCTGCGTCCTCATCGCTGCAGACGCTTTCCATTCCTCTCAATCCTTGTGTTTTCATGCCACTTTCCCATATTACAAGACTTCCCCTGCATCTTGCACATTATCACAGCGAGGGATTCAGTTTATATCCCGGGCACAATGCCACTGATGAGGAGCAGAATTAGTAGTGCCGGTCAGTATGTGCGGGAACACAGGCAGATGCAAAGGTTCAAATGGAGGCTAATAACATAATGATATTATCAAAGACATCTGTGTGATGAGTTAATCAAAGATAAGCACGGGGCTTGGCGAGAGGCTCCATAAGAAATACACGGTTGCAAAACATGCATTAATACCCATGCGTAAAGAGCTTTCTGATCATACAGCTGACACCATTACACAGCAGCATGCAGAGGTACACTTGGTCGTGAGCTGGAGCAGGAACATGAACTGTGGTTAATAACAAGGTTCCTTCTTTTCCGCTAATTACACTGCATGTGCATTATAGGCTATTATGCCTCCCACAAGCATTTTTCTAGACCTGGAGTGAACACTAGGAATTTTTAGAAATAATAATTCACTTTTATAAGGAAAGACAGAACAGGTCTGACCTCAGCTTCTTAAAGATTATTTCCCGACATTTTCTAAATTCAAACAAACTTTATAAACACTGAAGTATTTAAAAGGTCCTGCAATGAAAACCACTCAATCAAACGTTACTTTATGGTACATTATATATATATTTTATTAGATTTTTATTACTAATATATTGTGCTGGCAGAATTTGGATGCATGTGTTACACCTAACAAAGTGCAGTATTGAAAAATGTTCACCTTCAAGGCAAAATAACTGTCTATCTTCACTAAAATATGAAGTAAAGGTATCCGGGGTTGGTTCATGGTGGTAGTTACTTTTCATCACTAAATTTATAAAGAATTGATTTGCTGAATGTTTTATCTTGTATTTTAGTCACATTCAAAAGTATTATCTGTCATGCAGCACATTTTTTAGTTCATCAAACTTATATATTACCTCATCCTCAAAACTACAAGTTATGTAGGAGAGATTTTTAAATAGATTACAGCTTTTAGTTTTTCTTTCGTATCAGATTCATACAAATACTGTTATATATATGCATGCATGTACTGCATGCTAAAAAATAATTATTTTATTTGACAAAAATTAAACTACAATCTTTCATCCGCAGGAAAACGTGAAAGTACAAACAAAGAGGAAAAGCATCTGCACGTGGTTATCTTGTTTCTTCGATGGGTGAAAGGGTGCTCCCCAAAAGCGAAGCCACTTTGTCCCCCAAGTTAGTGGATGGGACTCGGGCCGAACTAAAAAGTCAAAGTACGCGTTAAATAATTTCTTTCTCAAAGATGGCTTCGGTCATTTTAAGGTAGTTCTTGTCACAGACATAAAAAACTACTTGGAACTACCAGCACCAAAAAAAAATTATAAATATGCTTCAATATTCAAATGAACCATTTTCTCCAAAATATATGAAGCAAAAAAAACCCATATGTCCCCTTTAATCTTAGTGATCCGCTTCAGCTCAGCCCGCGGTTAGAAACAACTTAAAACAACGGTGCAGTTGCAGGTCGACTTAACGGCACGACACAAATGCATAACAGAAAAAAACACAAACAAGGCACGGCACCACTGCACTGACAACACGAGCAAAACACCACGTGACAGAGAAACATTCGACACAACGTGACATCGCCGTGAGAGAGAGAGCTTACTTCCTGTGGGGATCAAGTCCCTGTCTGGAATGAAGAGTTTATACCCATAATGCTTCTCCAGCACGTCGGGGAGGATCTCCAGGGCAAAGCGCTCCTCCTCGCGAGTCTCCTGGCTCCACTGATCCGGGTCAACTTTGGTGTAGGACAGGTAGGCGTCGTAGTCCTTGTTATCTGGAGGTTAGAGATGGTTGAAATGTCTTTATTGTGTTTAGATCCTTCATTTACTTGAATAATCTCTTCTATGAAGCAGAAACTGTGTAAAAGCACGTGTGCTCGCTACAATACTTGCATTACTTCATGTAAGGGCATTAAAAAAGCTCCCAAAACCACTTAGCTTCAATTAAACGTTTGCATGTTTTATGATTTGCACATAATGTTCCTGCTTTGGTCAGCACTGCTGTACCCCAGATGCCCACAATCTATTTTCATGCTGTTGCACAGAGAGCAGTTCACTGAGCGGGAGACTTCATTGAGACGGGTCGCCTCCATTACACTGACCGCTGGGCACCTCTGCCCATCCGAGTGCTTTTCATTACGGCTCCGTCCCCACTGACGACTAATGTTACCTCGATGGCTGCTTTGCAAACTGCAGCCGAAACAAATTAGATTTCAGTCGGAGCTAAATAACGCTGCCTGCGAGGCCCGTGCACGCTGCGGCTCCATCACCCACATGAAAGCTCTGACTGATGACGGAGTGAGGAGACGGGTAGTGAAAAGTGAGTCAAGACTTGAGTCAGAGTATTATCAAGCTAAAGAGCAGGTTACAGGAAGTGGGAAGAAAAAGCTTTTGACTCCGACAGAACCACCTTAACTTGAACGCTGTGAAAGATGAAACAAAAACCACCTCAGCAATTAGAGTGAAGTATTGGTTTTGCACCTTGAGTTTTAAAGCCCTGTTACAAAGTGGTTTGCACTTTGCTGGTTCACAGTTTTAAGTTTCTTTTCTCACACATTTTCCCTACTTACAACCTGACTGTGGAAATATATTATTGTGTTAAATATGCTCACTGAGGTCTCCATATGCAGATATGTGTTTCAGGGTACTTAGATGGACATGCACTAGAGATCGGATACCCAACATGTTTGTTTGGTTTGGGACAAAATCATTGAATGATGTCTGGGTCACGTTGGCTGAGCTGGTTTTTTACTCCACACATGTCTGTTATGGTGGAAATAATAATCAGTAAGGAATCAGGGACAGGTAACACAAACTCAGTGCAACTAATATTTACTGCATCGGGCTCGGGTCGGGTTTGGACGGAAAAATGTGGCACAGACACCTTAGGGCACAGTATCAGCTTCTCCTGCACTGGGCCTCGGAAATTTAGACAACTTGAACTTTGTGGTGACAGATAGAGAAGATCCTTTTCTGCTTCTATGTGACACCTCCCCTGTGCACATAAGGAAACGGTTTTCCCATGATGTGAACGTGCAAGCAGAAAGCTCGGACTTTAACTCCATCCAGCGTGTTTGGGATGAACAGGACCACCAGCTGTGAGTCAGGTCTTATCGCCTGACAACAGCGGCTGACCTCACTAATGCTCTTGTGACGGTGCCTCCACCCCAGCACATTAGAAGATTGTGTTTTCTCCGCTACTCAGGATAAAGCTCTGTTCAAACTGCTTTATATCAAAGAAATATTCCCTTTGAAAACTGATTTACTGTATGTATTTTCACCATTTTTATTTGGTAAAATTATTACAAAGA